AATTATAGGCCGGTGAGTCTTACCTAAATTTGTTGAAAAACCAGGGAAAAAATCATTAAGAAGGCGTTAATGCAGTTCCTTGAGCAGACGCACCTCCTTTACGATGCGCAACACGGCTTTCGCAGTGTTAGGTCCTGTCTTACAAACCTGCTCTCCTCACTTGATCGCTGAACCAAAGCACGTGACTGGACCAACATGGTGCATGCTATTTACTTTGACTTCAAAAAGGCGTTCGACAAAGTTCCTCACCAACGCCTCCTGCATACACTGCGCAGCGCAGGCGTTCGCGATACCCTCTTCCTATGGATCCAAAACTTCTTTACAGGACGGTCCCAAAGAGTATAAGTAGGCCGCCAGCAGTCCTCGGGGGCACCTGTGGTGTGTGGCGTCCCAGTTTTAGGTCCCACATTATTCCTTGTTTTCATCAAGGACTGTGTCAGGGACCTAGAAAGCTGTTCAAAATATGGCAGACGAAAACCATCTGCAAGCTAACTTGAACAGATTAGAGGACTGGTCAAAGCATTGGCTTATGCCTTTCAATGTTAGTAAATGCAAATTTCTTTAAATCGGCAGTTGTAGAGCATCCCACTCGAATGACTATTCCTTAAACGGTACACCGTTGCAACAAGTTGAGAGTCAGAAGGGCTTGAGTGTGTGGATTACTGCTTCACTCAAACCAACGCTGAAATATACGAAGCCGGCGAAGTCGGCCAAATATATACCACAGCTGATTACACGAGCCTTTATGGGGTTTGAAAAGGAGAGCTTTTCCAACATATTTGAAAGCTTCGTTCGGCCGCACCTGGAATGCACTATAGAGGCATGGAGACCTTGGACTGTCAAAGACTGTACCATCTTAGAGAAGGTCCAGAGGCGAGCGATAAAAATGGTCAAAATTCTGGGAACACTGCTCTATGAAAGCAGACTGTCAACACTATATATATTTCCCCTTTACTACAGGCAACTTCGAGGGGACTTCATACTTACCTTCCCTATTACGAATAACCTCGATTGTTGCTTCGTCCCCGACGATTTACTTAGCCAGACTTATATGCCAACTTTGCGTGGGCATCCCCTTAAAACCGCGCCCCGGCAAAGCAAGGATCGACGGACGAAAATTCTACTTCAGCAACCGAGTAGGAGCAGCGTGAAACGCCCTTCCCAAAGACGTTGCCCTCTCGACCTGTGTTAATTCATTTAAGAGCAGACTGGACATGCACCAAATCCCATCATGACACACTGCAGTGTAAAAAGACATTATATTTAAGTATGCTTCTCGTGACTAACGAGTATTTATGTTTATATTACTATCTTGTTTACCTGACAACTGTTGCGTCTTCCCCCAGAACATGTAATTGACGTACTTTTTTCAAATTTTTCTTTGTATCCATATATTTCCTATCATCTTGTGCTCAATAGGGAGTTCAAATGCGTTCGTCTTTTTTTTCCTCAAACCGATACTGGTATGTAACCTACTGGGCGTAGTTGTGTTTACTACTTCGACCCCAAAACTCGAAACTCTTTAGCTTCCCGTGTTTACTTTTAGTTTTCCTAGTTTTAGTTGAGTTTCCACCTTATTAGTTTCAATTTTAGCAATTAGTTTAGATAGTTTAATTTTAATTTAATTTTTAAGCGACCTGCCGTAGCTTTCGGAATATCTTACTAAAAAATCTCTCCACATGCACTAAAATTATTGTGAGTTTTAAAAGATGGAGCAAAACCTATCTTTCATGGTTTTATTCAAAACTCTAAATTTCGACATATTGGCACGCCTATTTGCAAGTACTTTTGCGCTGTTCTTGTTTCCTATTGGTTGTATCAAGTGCACATGTTTATTTATTTAAATAGGTATTTCCTATTATTTTCTGATTTTATGTGCCCTCCTTTGTAATTAATACTTTTTCTTTGCTGTGGTATGGCCTAACCATGAAAAGCGTATTAACACCACTCCTGTGAGACATAATCCCGAGGCTAATGATATCTTAATACCTCGGGCAACTTTCTTGTTGCCGGATAGCGAAACTTACTCGGAAACAGGGCACTTGTTCGGCCATTACTTACGGAGTGTAGCGTTTGCTGTTAGCAAGAGGTTCATTCATACAGAAAGCGGAATCCGTGATTGAAATACCCAGGGTTTATGCTCTGCGAAAACTAATATAGTAACCTTACTTGATTTGTATTTTCTAATCTATTTTTATAATTGAAGTCAGCATTATATAAGAAATAAAATCTGCCAAAATTATAATAACATTCAGCCTGCCGCCTTTATCTTTCAACACCTAGTTCTGGTCAATTTAACTTCTTTTGAAAAGTTTTGAAGCCATTTATTTTCACAGTTTTCTAAGATTAACATAAGCTCGCTCATACACAGTAAGGGGTTGATAAAGCGAGGAAGGCCACGCTGCTGCTAGGCTTGAATATAAATATATGCAGAAGGACACAACCAGCAGTTGACCTACGAGGTCACGACCTTTGCCGATATTAGATCGGGATATACAGTGGCATATATGCGTACACCGATCTGTCAGAGGACCCCCTCGTCCGTCCATATTGCCATTCGAGCTCTTTCTTGAGCCTCCACCGCGAGGCGGCTAGGATATAGGCAGAAGGATGTTGCCTTCTGAGTCTAACAGAAAAAAATCCCTAGACTTTATAACTCAACGTTCCAGAGGCATAATTCTAATATCAGAAACTACGTTATTCATTTTTCGAAACAAATATATTCTCATCATTGTTATCATATTAAGGGTACATTCTTTCTACTTCTAGCTCCAAATAAGTTCCTGGTAAATGCCTCCAGGTATGCAAAGAGTGCGACTGAAATTTTCTTAAGCTCTTCTACACCATAAAATCGCCGCCGTCTTATATGGTGAAATGAAGGAGTATGGCTGAATGTCCTTTTCAGATTAAAACTTGGATTCAGTTACATTTTTTCTTTGTGAACCAGGCTACCCTTGCATACTGGAGTGCCGTAGCAAAGATAGAAGAGCGGTTTTCAGATAAGGAGAAGAGGCAAATTTATTTAAATCCGTCTCATGCCTACTGATGCAGGACGCTTATTGCTTACACCAATCAGAAAACTTCCGCATAGTGTTTAGAATAAACCATTTTTTATTCTAAATTCAAAATGCGAAAATGTAGCATCACCTAATACAAGAGGATATACGTTTATCTTGCCAAATCCTTACGGAAATATTTCCCAAATTCCCTACGTATCATCATTTTTATGAGCGAAACTGAACTAACATTATTCACCTTCGTTGAACTATACTTTTGTTTCGTACCTTTTCGTTAACAGAGCATAGACACAGTTCGAATAGACCACAAATTTCGTATAGTTTACTAACATAATTAAAACTGTACATTTTAAAAGTATAAGTAAAAACTCCAAACAAAAATATATCAAAAAATCGATATATTTTGATTCCGAAGATTGAGGATCAGATACTTTCTATGATGATTTTATTTCTTCGCGATTTATGGCGGAGAAAGCTCTGCCTTTTGATCAATTTCGGAGCTTGGGCTGGAAACGCTTCTGCAAATCCCTCGAAAGATCGCAGATATTCCTCGATCTCAGGCTTTGGCGCAAACCCGTACGACCTTTAAAATATCAGTAGACATGCTTGAACTGGACAATAGATAAATAATCAGAACTCCCATTATATTAATGTGCCCAATAATAAAAAGTAATAGTTAGTTTAAACGATGAGATCTTTCGTACAATCCCAAGGTTTTAAGCACACATATGACGTTTACTATATTTTTGCACCTTTACTACCCATTAATCTTAAAACAGGAACACTATAGCTATTGAGCTCCTGGCGACAACACAAAAGTCTTTTCATGTTGTTTACAGAACGAGACCTATGTATAGTTCTGAAGAATTTCGTAGTATTTCACGAAATAAATAACTTTGTTTGACCCTATATCCCGTACTTTAATACAAATTTTATGAGCTGAGTAGAGACGTTCCTTGAACAATAGAGTTCGTTGGAATGCGCAACTTATACAGTTAGTGAGCGAACGAAAGTTGATAATCACATCATCATTCAAAGAAGGTCATTTTTTAAAATCAAATTAAGCGATGAAGCATGGGTGTATAGGGCAATAAAATCAATTATTATTTTCATAGAACGGTGGCTTTGAGAACTTTTTGTTGATTTTTAGTCTTGACTATTACTTGCTCACATATTGGCACCATCATACCGTTATAATTGAAAATAAAGATTGCTCAGTAGCGGTCACGAAGTGTGCTACCTACCCATGCTTTATATTCTTCTTCAAGCTAACTCGAAAAGTGGAATAGGTTATCCGAAGGTCACAGCAAGCTAAACAGGAAACGTGAGAGCGTGCAGGCATTTCGTTCGATCATTAAGTAATACTTCGCCTGAATGTGAGCATTGGTAGTTATTCTCTGTAAACAGTAAATTAATTCCTCGTTAACGACGGACAAGTCGCACTTAAATTTTTCCATATGAATAATCTGAAGCGTCAGATTATTGAGGTAAAACCAGGTATCCAAAATATATGCAATGTTTACATTCGGCTGTGTGGTGATTTTTATATAACTCCGACATCTCCGTAGGTACATAGGCAATCCTTAAATAATTTTGACCCATAAGCATGGTTGCCAATCGATCATTGTCTAAGATGTGCGACAGTGAGCGTTTTTAAAGTTACTGAAGATACTGTTACGAGCCTAAAACGTTAAAAGTGGTGCATTAAGAGCCCCCAGGATAGATTTCAATGTGTTCCACAAATTCTCGGCAGGGAAGCTGTGGGGAGTTTTCTCTTAATTAATATCAAGTGAAACGTTTTCATGACCTGAGCAGTAACAATACACTGCATTTCAAAGGGACATCGATTTTCATAAAGAAGCGTAGTCAAAGAAATATTCGAGTATTATTTCGATCATTTCACTTAAATATTCATTGTGATCAATAATAATAAACTTTTAAAAATGCTGAGCGTATACCGTAAGGAAAATAAAAACAACTTACATTTGACAGTTTTCTTCCGATAACTGTAACCTCTTCATGAAATAACCAAGGATTAAATAGTGCTTCCAACACCTCCAATAGTTTACAATCTTTTGTGAATCCTTTTCATCATCTGTTATAAGAGCGCTTGTTGTCTCCCCTGGTGCAGTATCATTTTCATCCGGTTGAGTTTGCGAAGGGAGGAAGAGTGCATTTCCGGAGTCCAGATGAATTAATTGTTGGAAAATGAGTCCCAAGTAGGGCAGACAAGGCATTTTAGCCGACTCAAGATCATGCCGATACGTAGTAAATGCGGGCGGAACCATGTACGCACCAAATTCCGTTAATTTCTTTGAAAGAAGGCAAAAAAGTATACTAACACGAGCTGCCTAATCTTTTATGTTTATCCGTTAAAGATCAGAAATAACTTTATATAAGTTTTTGTTCTATTCAAACGCCGAACGAAAGAACGTAGGAAACTTAAAATACTATTTTGTGTGAGCAAATATTTTGTGAAGGTCGAGTGAATGTTGTAAAATAAATTCAAAGCACGGATAATCGAAACAATGAGACATAGCTGACGACAGGCGGATTTATTTGGCGGTACAATTCTATGAAATATTGAATTTCCACTGTATAGTACTAGTATTTTAGTCTCTAAATATGTGAAGAGCTAGCTCACCTTTTAAAGTTATACCTATTGAATTTTCATGTATTCTGTTAGCTGTTTCACCCTTCATAATATATTTACTTCCCTTTGCGATATGCGGTGGAGCAAAACGGCCTCCAATTGAGTTAAAAAACTGTAAAAGGACATACTTAATTTTCCTCCTCAATAGCCATGTAAAACCTTATTACTTTTGTGTCAAATATGAGGGTACTATTTTGCGTGCTTGCATAATTCACAAGGCCAGTCCTAATTTTCCAGTTAATG